AGCCAACAGCACTTTACTGAGTCTAAGCACTGGACTTTCCTGCAGTCAGTTTTGGACCCTGTTGTGGTTTGGGCCTGGTCGGCAGCCAACCACCACTCAGTGACTCTCTCTCCCTTCTCTTCCAGCAATAAGAAGGGACAGAGAGCCAGGCTTTTGGGGTTCGAGATAGGATGGGGATGGGGAAGAAAATCCCCCTTTATGGGCACGAGCAAAAGGCAGACTCGTTAGGGGAAGAAAAAGATAACATACATTTATTACAGACACTAACAACACGTAACAGAGTAGGACAGTGAGAAGCATTGCCACATCTTGAGAACACCTTCCCCCCACCCCTCCCTTCTTCCTGGGCTCAGCTCTGCTCCTGACATCTCTACCTCCTCCCCCAGCGGCACAGGGGCAGGGAATGGGGGGTGCAGTCACTGCTGCTGCTTCTTCCATCTTCAGTGGGGGGAGATCCTGGAACTTCTTCCCCCTGCTTCATCATGGTTCCCCTCTCACAGGAGACAGTCCTCCACAAACTTTTTCCAACATGAGTTTCTCCCATGGGCCGCAGCGTTCCCCACACTGCTCTGTCATGGGTCACTAACTTCCTCTGACTGGATTCCCTCCCACGGCTGCAGCCCTTCCCGAGCTGCTCTGGCGTGGGACTCCCCTGCATGCTGCAATCCTCCCAGTGCTGAATTACAGCAGCGGGGCTACCTCTTCCCACAAGACCTCAGCCTCCTTTGGGCACAGCACCTTTATCAATCAGGCGGAAGCCACAGGCCATAAATCAATGTCTGCTCCACCGTAGATCTTCATGGGTGGCAGGGTGGGGTGCCCTGCCATCTCACCACAGGATACATGGGGGTCTCTGCTCCAGCACACCTCCCCCCTCCTTTCTTCCTCCGTTCCTCCACTGACCTTGGTGTTCATGCAGCTGCAGCAACTCCTCCTCACAAGTCCCACTGCTCCTCACCACATCCCTTCTGAAATACGTTATCGCAGAGGTGCAGCTGATCGGCTCAGTTTCCAAACAGAGGTGGGGCAGACTTGAAGCTGGGGGAGCTTTGAGAAGCTTCTCACAGGGGGCCACCCCTATAGCCCCCTCCCCTGCCACCAAAAAACTCCATCATTCACTCAACCCAAGCCAGACCATCACCAAAAATACGTGTGATTGAGGTGTAGACTGAGTTACCATATTCAAACCTGTTGTCTTTTGAAATAGTGCTAGGAAAACATTTTTTGTGGCATGGGAGAGACATATCTTGTGGTTAAGTTTCTAGCAGTGATTTAGGGATTTCTGTCATATTTCCTATGTGACTTTGGAATAGTTTGTTTATTTGTCTGTACCTCAGTTCCTCTGAGTCTTCTCATCCTTTTGTTTTGTTTTGGAAAGGTCGCAGCCTCTCTGAAAACTGCTATCTTTTTCCTGTATGTGTGCAGGATATCAGCCCTTTATGAAGAATATGGTAACCAAACCCTAGACCAGAGTTGATGTACTTAGTGTCACCTTTCAATAGTAAACTGAGACTGACCCTGATCAATCTTTAAATGGGATAAATGTGTTGTGCCATTTATACAGCAATGTCACATCATTTACACTCCAGTTCCATTAAAGATTTCATTTGATCACAAGTACTGGAGATTAATGATTCATAGGACCTGAAAAATGGCAGTCTGAAATTTCAGATGGGATAATTGCTGATGTCCCCAGGGTTAATACAACTCCTGTGGTACTGTGGCAGGCTGCTGAAACCAGGTAGAGTTTAAGTGGAACATATATAGACCAAGGAAAACTTTGCTCAGAATGGTGCTGTTTTTTTCTGCTGTTTGTTCCTGCGTGTTTCCATGTATAGGCATAGATGAGTGATAACTTTGCTGTCTGACTCAGACCTTTCATTAGCAGCTAATAATCAATGAGAGCAGGCAGGTTGGACAAAGCAGAGATGTTGTACCTTAAAAAAACAAACAAAAACAACAGTGCATAGCCTCATCCTTCATAAGTGGGGTATTCCTATGCATGTTACCATACAGAACCATGCATCAGGCCGTGCACAGGAGGTGGAGAAGAGCAGTGGAATTTACCCAAATGTGACATATTTATTTGGCACTAGTGATGGGTGGATAGCTTTAAGGACATGCCTATTCCTGTAGTAAGAGTGAAAGCCTTTCTTCTAAGTTGCTGACATTGAGCTTGAATTTTAAAACTATTTTTTGCAGTTGAAAACTAAATTTGACTATGTTTATGTCATCCCTCCTTCTTCACCCTCCTCAGCTTCCTTATTTTCTCGCTTAAATTGGGATGAATTCTCTGTGATTGTGTTTTGGGGACCTTCAGGTCAGCTCTGAGAGCTGTGATGAGTGTGGTACTTGTAACTGCATGAGTGAAACGAAAAGTAGAGTGGGCAGTTGGGCACTGAGTGAAAGAAGTAGCCTCTGTGCAAGGCAGAGGTGGCATCCAGATACAAACTGGCAAAGTCTCTTCATCGTTGTTTCATAGTAAGTGGATGCTGAGAGGCGGCGATGTTGCACTGTATGCTGTTGCGAGAAAGGGGGAAAAAAACCCCAAACCTGCACCATGTCTAGCAATTCTGCGGGTACAAGGTGTGAGATGGGGAAGGAAAAATTTACTGGTTTGTTCCTACTTTTGCTCGTAAAAGCCAAGCTTAACTTTTTCCAAGATAATTCAGAAGCAAACACCATGATGTGTGTTCCTAATGACAGAGGGAAACAGACTCCCCTGCAATGCTACAGTACAGGTTCCCTGCACAATGGCTACAGTACAAGTTAATACAAGTAACCATAACCAAAATGAGGAGGAGGAAAATAAACAGGAAAAACTATATCATCACAGTTTAATTGGCCCATGCTGATGCACCATGTTCCACATGATGAAATAACGCCATTCAAAACCTGGGGTTTATTTACAATTTTATTTAGTCAAGAAAGCTTTTGAAATTATTAATTTCCAAAGGATATTGTTCTGTTCAGCAAGCCTTGGACTTCATTTGTCTGGCTTTTAAATAGTCTGAAGCCTTATCTATTACAGGAATCCCCTGATCTTTCCAGGATGTTTTATACATACAGTAGCTGCTTCCTCTTATAGAAATAATGTCTTTTGGAAGTGAACAGTACATACTGAAAAAGCTTTTGTCTGCAATCAGATTGGCAGCAATTGAAAAAATCCAGATGATCTCCCAAAGGGGAGTCTGTGCAGCTGGGCCATTCTTTGTTACAGTAGTATTTTACTCTTTCTATTTAAACATGTTTTGTATTCTATCTGCCACACACACCTGCCAGTATTGTGATCTTCCTGCTATGACATAAATGCAAGTGGGACATTGTAGGACAATGTTGTGACCAAACTAGCATCACTTAGAGTCCAGCTGCAAAATGGATGAGTTTATACCCGCTAAGTCTGTAAGAGAGAGGGTAAGAGAGGAGCTGTGAGTGCTGACATCATTTGTCTTTAGAAATGTAAAGCCATCCAAGGACAAGATTCCTCTCGCATCTTCTCTCACCTTAAGATATTTTTTTTCCCCCTAGCGTAGCTGATGACATGATAATTTTGATTTAACCGAGGTTTCTCAGTCTCCTTCCAGTCTTGGTATCATTTGTCCAGTTGTCAGATAGTATCTACTATGTGTGTATAATAATGGTGCTCTGGTGTTAGAACAGGTTGATGAAAGGTTACATCTAAGTCAGCAGTGTGACAGAGGTGATAGTGGACTCTTTTAGCTGGTCACAGTGTGCTGCCTGGCCCATGACTTACTGGGCAGAGAAAAGATGTATTGAGGGTTTCAAGGCCAATTTCCTCCTAGTCTTTTTTTTTCCTGGGTTGATAGCTTGTTTCTTCATTAGTGTATTTACAGTGAATGTTAAACCAAATGCTGCTTTATAAGCATAATTACAAGTAAAAGGAATATATAGTTTCTTGGAGGGAAGCCAGGTTTTTTTTAAATTCCGTTCTGTGGTTTAGCCAGAGTGGGAATCACAACAACCTGAGCATCTGGGGATATCAAAACTCAAAATTAGTCTCAGGAGCCTGATAATCTGACAGACAAGAATTTACTCTACTAAACTAAAGCTGTCTAATTTCGACAGATGTGATGGATTAAAGAGAAAGCATCATTGACCTGGTTCCACTCTGTTAGGCTTTCCAATTAAACAGGATGTTGTAGAAAGCAAGACCTTGCAGAGTAATACCTAGACCAGCAAGACTGAGGTTTTAAATGTCCCTTATACTTTAAAAGATGTTCCTTTTAAAGATTTTGCTTGAGTGCTAATCCCAGAGCACTAATGATGGAGTCTCCTGGAGGGATGTTATCTCTTTCTAACCTCTTAATTAACTGCCTAAAAAGACAATTTTGGTGCTTTTATGTTTAGAAGCTCTTTTAATGAAGTTTGAATACTCTGGCCAAGCCAAGTTAGGAGTTCAGATTTTGACATCAAGAAAGATGCCAGACTGCAGAAAATGCACACTGTACTTGCACATATAATGTGCAGAGCTGGAGAGTAACGTTCACCAGGGTGAAATTTTAGTGGGGAAAAAACCCAACCACGATGTAACTGCAGCTGTTGGGCACAGAAGTTTTACCAAGGAAGTGGTTGACCCCATCATCATCAAGTCCTGATCAACCTTCTGAAAAGGTTCTAATGCCTTGAAATTACAGGAACACCAGCCAATTGTAATCTAAGAAAGACATGTAACAAAGGATTAAATCAAAGATGCAAGGACCTGCATGTGGCCTAGAGTTTTTCTGTAGCTAATCTGTCTTTGATGTTACTCCAGTTACTGCAGCTTCCCTTACTCATCCAAATATTTTAGAGATCCTGTAATTTCTGTGCAATGGTAGGATGTCTGGAAAAGAAGGATCTCTTTAAAAAAAATAGTCTTCTGTCATCTTTGAGCAGGTGTGCTTGTTCTTAACATCTCTACTTTGGACCAATAATGGCTCAAAACACCTTCTTTTCCACTATTCCAGAGTAATGGCTGTTTCTGTCTGCTCTTTTTGTAGATTGAACCTCCTAGTCCTTACACCGGCTTGGAGACTCAGGTTAGTATCACCTACCCCTTCCCTCCCAACTTATTTCTTACAAGAGATTCTCTGAAAGTGAGGGCTGATCTGATGTTGCCTGGCATATTTATATTAACTGTGTCAGTGGCCCTGGAGAAGGTGCAACTCTAACAGCAGTAGCTCCCAGCGTGACTGATTGGGCAGGAAGAGAACCAGACTCTTTACAGTGGGTGCAGATGGTGAGGCAGGGACCTGGCGTACAGTTGGACAACAGCAGAAGTGACTTGTATGTATTAGAAGAGAGGATACAGTCCTCAGGGCAATGCAAGCATCCATTCATGGGATTCTCATTTCTTTTTGTATACTCAGTTTCCTAGCTTTTGTTATAATCCCCCGCTGCTAGTGTTTTACTCTAAAATACTGTTGTGCTGCATATTTCCTCTTTAGACATTACAGTGAATGGTAATGAATCCTTGGAGATGCCTGGCACCAGAAGGTCAAAGCAACAGAAGGGATTTTACAAAGTCACTGATGCTTTGATTTCTGTTTTCTAACAAGGCAGCATCATTGATTTCCGTTCTTGGTGATCTTTGGGAGACAGCAAAGGCAATGGTACTTGCATACCGAAGATGGCTGTTTATTCAGAACACACATTTCCAATGTCCTTTAGTGATTGCATAAATATTTCTACCTTTGTTTTCTGCTGGCCCTTCTCTGGGGAAACCTTTTGACTGTTTTGTTATTTGTTTCAACAAGACTACTACATCTTTTTTTATGGACCTCACTTTAGAGCCAAGCCTTTGTGAGCTGAAACTGGCAAGGAATGATCACACAAAGATTGTTATACACAGTGGCATTATAAAGTGCTGTCAGACACAGCGTACATGATAAAGTATTAATCCATGCATGATGTAGAACTAGAAATACACAGTAATAATGAAGACTTATTACTGACTTAAAATAGTATAAGAACATCAGTTTGTGTCAGTGAAGGTACTAGGGGAGAATGCATATGTTAGTATAAACAAGAGAATTTCACACCTGGAGGAGAAAGAAGTGTAAAGGAAGTGATCACCTCCAGCTGGTACAGCTGCCAGCTGCAGATTACTGGCTGGGGTGACGCCTTCAGCCCCAGCACACCATTTCTTTGTCCTGCCTTGCCAGTCTGCACCTTCCCTGACCTGCATGTCATTAGCTCTTCTGGATCATCAACTCCTTGCTAAGACTGTCAGCATGAGTGCCAGGTGATGCCAAAAGTTGCTGTGCTTTTAAGGGGCCTTAATATTTTTGGGGTCAGGGAGGGCATAAACCCTTTGTTTAATGAATAATTTAAGGTAGAAAGTAAGGGTGTTGATATTTCTTTCAGTGTTACTGAAAGCCAGTTCCCCTTCTGAATCCATTTTCTGTAGAAAGCGGCTTACTTCTGACCTTGAAATAGCTCAGGAACGCCAAGACCAACTTATTACAGGCAATACAGTACACAAGAACACCCAAATTTGCAGAAGTTTCCCTGCATGCTTTACTCTCTTACTTTTTCTGTGGGGGCAGATGGGAGCAGAGAGTAGCACTGCATTCATCTGAGACATGTTGAGTAGACTGGTGAGGGGCTTCTGTGCTTTGGTGGTTTCCTGCACAATGTTGGGATAAATCAGCTCATTTGAGAGTTTCTCTCTGCTGCCCTCTGGTTTCCTGTATTGGCTCTGGTTTGGTTGGTATTTTGAATATTGACATTCCAAACCGTACATTGAAAGAGGACCATATTCTGGAGGCCTTCTCATGAATTTTTCATATAATTCCCCCTCCTTTCCCTAGCCTTCCAGTCAGCTGTACAACTGTTGAAAATTTTACAGGTATGGCTGTAAGTGATCTTCTAAAGAGAGAATGGGTACTCTTCAAACCAGCTCAGCTTCAGTAGATCTCTGTGAATTCCTCTATAAAGATATATTTCGAGTTGTCTGTATGTGAACATAGGGAAAGCATTTACTTGAGAGCTAAGCAAGTGGTTTTGACTGACATTTTTCCAAGGAAAAGACAGTTTCTACAAACAAAATAATTTTTTCACAGTTCTTTCACCTATCAAAATACTTTGTTCTGATTGGACCTGCCAAATCACACTACTTGTGTTAATCAAACAGCACTATATTGGGGATTGGTCCGATTCCTTTACACCTATCTGTGCTGGGAGAACATGTCAAAAGATGATGCAGTCAAGCAGTTCCTGTTCTGTCTGTTCTTTTTTTGTAAGTGGGATTATATAGCTGACAAACAACTGTTCTTTAGTTTTTCTCATGTTAAATGGTGTGTAACAACTGTGAATCATGTAATGTATAAATATGGTGCAGCAGATTAACAGCTCTTTAATTAGCTGTGTTCAAGGGAGTAATACGTGGCTAATTTATTTGCACTGTGTTGCAAAATGATACTCATCTAGGGTGAAACCCAGAAACATGGTCTTTACTGTATTGGAAAAAATATTTTGCAAACAAACCTCCCATTTCCTGACTCTAAATCTCACTGTGTGCTAATGCCAAAACCAGATACCCCTGAGTATCCTTGAGGTGTTTGATAAGGTCGTGTTGTCAGGATTCTTTTGGAGGGCTCAGGAGTGTTTGCGCTATGATGCAAAGAGAAGCTGAGTGTAATTTGGAGAAAATGAAGAAAACAGAATGAAAGCTATTTTCAGCAGCTTAGATGGCTGTACATTACATCTGAAACAGCTTTGACTCTGTCTTAGACTACTTTTCTCATGATTTCAGAAGTTATCTCCATTGATGAGATTGTGGCTGTTTGCATTTCACAATTCCTATCCTTCATTTCCCAGAAATAACAGGAGCCAAATGTAATGGCTTCAGCTGCAGTTAGCCCAGTGATAAATTTTGGCTCGTTTTTTCATTCCCTTGAAGCAATGGAGTTTGTGATTGTCTTTGTGATAGAGAGATCATTATTGGTCTCCTTCCAAAGCTTTAGCTTCGTGTGATTGGATATTAGGGAGCCTCTAAGTCTTACTGATACAGGGCCACGGGGTACTGCAGCTGGTGGAGGGAGTGGAGCTCTGTGTAACAGGTAATGGGACTGAATAATTGGTGCAGCAATTGCAGTCCTTACTGCCTTCACCTTTGGGAGGTAAACCCTGCCATGTGTTTTCCTTTTGCCAGTGCTATCCCCAGCATGAGTGTGCAGCAGTGCTTGCCCCATCTGAGGGATGCGCAGCTAAGCCTGTGGCAGGCAGATGTGCACCCTTGTGTTCGTGTGGCAACTGGCTGCTTTTCTGCTGCTTGGAGGTCAGCAGCATTGCTTCTAAGCTTATGGTAATAATAATAAAAAAAAAATTATAGTACTTCTCAGAATATAGAATACCAATTTTTCCTTTGTTGTTAGGAGTCAAAATAGGAACTGATTTTTGCTGTGCAGTTTCCTGAGGGTGCTTTCACTGGGGTAGTTTTTGTGAGAGTAGCTGGTGGCTTTCAGCCTCCCTTTAAAGGGAGGGTGCAGTTCCCAGGTGCTACTGAAGTGTGAAACTTGGAGACTGCTGACATAACATGTGCAGTGAGAATCTAAACATGAGAACTGTGTGTAATGCATATGCTGCACCGGGAGGATTTCAGCTGGAAAGTTACCTTAGCCAAGGGGGCACATCAGTCCAGAGGATTACGTTGGCAAAGAGCCAGGGTGAAAGATTCTTTGAAGGCCTCTTCCCATGGAACAAAAGTGCTATCCCAGGTTGGTGCCATAAATATTGATGTTTGAGTATAGGCAGCAGTGTGCTTCTCCTAACACAGCAAAACTCAACTGCATTTTCATACCCTTCCATAATTAGGGTGTACCCTGCCTGCAGCATAGTGGCTCAGAGCCTCTTACCTGTGTCAGCCTCTTGTTTCTGAGAACAGCTCAGACGCTGATTGCTCCCAGACAAAATGTACCTTTTAACAGTAGTGCCTTTAAAGAGACCAGGGGAGAAGACTGCTTGTTACTGTCCTCTCTACCATTTAATTTATTTAAAAAGCTAGCACTTTTTAGAATGACAGTGTCCTGCCCTGGAGAGTGTTGTGTAAGGAACAAAAATTGTCATATTAAAACGCATCTAGTATCCTGTAATTCCTTTCTCTAAAAATGATTTCTGGCTTAATTCAATAAAAGACTCAGAACTGAAGGTTAGGAGTGTGCCACTCTGTGGGTGTTGCATTTCATAATTAAGTGGCTGTCCGTGTGTTTGTTGCAAGCACCTGGCAAGATGCCTTTGTCACTGGGTACAAGTCAAATAACTTCATTACCTATAGGACTCTGTAAATAATCATGTGATCAGTTGTTTGACCTTTAATTATTTCTTCTGTTCAACCCAGAAATTTAAAACCGTAACCCTCAGCTCATGGTGCCAAGAGGGACTCAGGTTTGTGATCTGCCCTTGCAGCCTGCAGGCAGGAGAGAGGCAGTCCGGAGGCAGGCTGCTGCCTGGAAAGCTCACACACCTTTTCCTGGTTCCTGTCTGGGAATGATGGGGTGCTGTCAGCCCTGCTTGGATCCAGAGCACAGGTATGGCAGCAGCAGCAGCCGTACAAGTTACCTAATCACATGTCTTAAAATGGAGATGAGTGCCTTTGCAGATAAGTGAGCATTTTGCCTTTTGTGCAAAGGCTTGGTCAGCACCTGCTTCACTGGGGGCTGCACAGTTGATTTCACCCCAGTACCATATAATCAGCATTTCCCAGTAAGAGTAGATAAGAATTGCAAACTTAAAGATACTATATCCACTACTAAAAACAAGAATAGAAACACTCCCTGTGTAATTTGTTAGAGTATCATATGGAAAAGAATCACAGAATAATGGGGAAACTGTTCTTTAAAAGAATATGACTAAAAATAATACTCTGAATCTTCTGCATCCGTGGTTTTGGCTGTGTTTGGGACTACTTCCTGTGTCTGCTGGTTACCTTGCAAGATAGAAACTTGAGGATTTTTCCAGTTTTAGTCAATATTTATGAAAAAAACATGAATCCATGAATCTTGGAACCTCTAGAAAAAGAGCATCTTGCAATTTTTGT